AAAAAAAAAAATAAAAAAATTCAAGCAATTTTTTTTTTTTTTTTTTTTTTCTTTTAAATTACGATAAAATGTCCACACATCCACAAAGCTAACAAGCGAAGCAATAAGTTTTCAGTTCAAATACTTCTAAACCCAGTTTCTTAATATCTCTTAAAAACTCTTTAATGTTCTCAATGTACATGTGTCAAAGAACATCTAAGTTAAATTTAAAGTCCTTAAAGTAATATCAATGAGAAGTCATGTGCGGAAATTAGTTACGGTTTTAAATTTTTACTTATCAATCTTAAAGTAATCTTCCGTCACATTTAATGGGCAAGAAATGTGTCTGGCTTTTTGTTCCTAGAGAAATCTAATGGGTTGAAATCTTACTTTTTTCTTATATCAAAACAGCCATCGTCTTTGAAATGAGTAATATTTGTTCATACATTCTTCACCCGCTTCATTTCAGGAAGTCTGTTAAAGCTGTCACTATTTCAAGAAGACAATTTCATTGTTGGAATAAATGTTTCTATTTTAGTATCTATCAGTTTCGTAAAGTGCATCATGTCCCTTGATTGTTTCAACTCTTTTCGCGGAGTATTGTTAATTTTCCCTAAACGTATCTTTTTTTTTTTACATCTCTCCGAACAGTTTATTTCGAAGTGTAGTTGAATGCATACCAGGAGCAATAGAACCTTGCTCATCGACAAGATTTTTGATGGGATTACTTGACGACACAGCAGAAATTCCTCCGCTGTTGCAGAAGTACAGAAAGGTGCAGCTGAAAGAGATTTTAAACAAAATACACGAGCCATCAAAACCTATAGAAGACTTGAGCGACCGCTCAGTGGAATTTGATGAATCTGTACAGGCAAAGATGTCGCTCTTCTGTTCCATTATTGATAAAAAATGGCCACCGTAATTTAATGGACTAAGACAATGACGTACAAAATGATTATTATCAGGAAAATAAATATGGATCGTTGGTCTTTGACTTAATCTACATTCCAAAGAACTATTTTGCGTCGTCACTATAAGCTTCATTGTCCTATCTTTTTTATAGAACATTTATTTACATTATTTCGTAAAGAAAAATGATTCACTTTTTTTTTTCATAACAATTTCAGTTTGATTTTTTAAAAATTGGCTGACATTGTTAAAATGGTGATACTTTATATTAGAATTTGCGATAATATATGTAATTTTAGAAAATATAACATATTTATGGCGATATCATATTCATATTTTGTATCATTGTATTCATATTTATACTTTAAGTTACGATAATATTGTAATATTTTGAATATTAAAACAAGTTATCATTATATTCGAATTAAGAAGAATATTTATTGAGAACCACTGTCTAAGTTATAATGGATTACCCTGTTACACTTATATTATCGTACGATTATTTATTATAGCAGATAATCTCATTTTTTACCGCATAATAGCATTTCTTGCCTTTTTTATATTTAGTGGTCATAACCATGTGGACAAATTTGAAAGTAAATGAAGAGATCTCCAAAATAATAACTAATATAATGGTTTGCATTCATCTTGATGGCAGCTTTGTCTAATGTTTGGTTGTTGTGTTTGTCTCTGTGTTTGCTTTTATTAAAACTTAATGGTTTTGTTGATTAATATTTCTTTGAGTGGATAAAGATTTGTTTCTTTAATTTAAAATAGTGAGCGGGGGACCGGCCGCCCGATGTCTAACCAACATGTGATGCGAATTTTGATTTTCAGAAAATCATTTGTAAATGTGATGCTGCATGTGAAATTAAAAATTATACTCAATTTTAAAGTTTATTCTAATGTTATTGTATTTATTATTAGTTATTATAAGATAAAAATATTTATTTTGATCTTTTATGACCTTGTTTGCATTCAATTTTAGCAGATAACTAAATGTATATTAAAAATTAATTGATAAATTAATCTGATCTTAAATACAAAGTGATGAAGTGGGTGGGATGTGATATTAGATATCTGTGATGAAGTGGGTGGGATATGATCTTATGTATCTGTGAGGAAGTGGTTGGGATGTGATCTTAGGTATGTGTGATGAAGTGAGTTGGAGGTGCTCGTAGGTATATGTGATGGAGTTGCTTAGATGTGATCTTAGTTATAAGTCATAAAGGGTATGAGATTAATAATCCAATTTGTTTTCTTAAGTTTGACAAAAGCATTTTCCTTTTCAAAATACTTCTAGTGAAGTATTTAGATTGTGTGTGATATTATTAGACTTTTTATTAGTTTATTTAATCGTTGTTTGGTCTCAGGCGATGAATTCCCACAGCAGCAGGTAATGCCGAATCAAATTGCGCTAAATTGTTTCACTGTTAAATTGTGTTGATAAAATCTTGGTTTACGTCGAAATTGTAATTTTTTTTTAAAGATATACAATTCTTTGGTTGACTTTTGTGTACAGATTTTGCCGTGTTCTTACTATGTTAGTAATTATTTATTGTGACAGCTAGGTACCTATATGTCTTTACATGTTCTATATTTTGATATTTTTTATCGGTTGATTCCTTATACGGATATTAAAAACCAATTCTTTCACTTTTGAGGCATTAAAGTGAAGAAACATTTCATAACATTAACTGAAAAAGCTTGTAACTAAGTTGCAGTAAAAGATTCCCCTTTTATATATGAATCCAACGATAGTGGTATCATCCGCAAATTTAATGGTTGGAACGGTGTTGCTTCGGCTCTGGATGTCAGTAATATTATATTATAGACAGTACAAGGGAGACAACAAAAACCAGTGTGGCGCTACAGTGCTTAGTTCTCTAGTTAATGATATTTATTCATTCATCTCGATTCTTTGTTTTGAAGTTCAGGTCTCCGTTGAAAACGTTTCATTAATTCGCCAAGTCAATTCTTAGTAGTACAATATAAAAAAAATCCACCCTTAAAATTTATTTATTTTTACTTCTTTATATTTTAACTATCTGTAATCGGTTTGTTTGTGATACATTTTTAAACAATAAATGAACATAAATTGTGCGCAAAGCATCGTGTTTGAAATAAAACTCAAAA